AATATGGGGTTTGACGTTTCTTGTAAACATACACCCTTATGGTTAATTACCTCTTTCGATATCACGAGAACGCTTTTGATTAAGCCTAATCATTAAAACTTCAATTGCTCAACATATAATAACAAGAAACCTATGATTTAAGTCAAAAGATTTATCACTACGAGCTTAAAAAAATGATGACAAATTCAATTAAAATTTCATGGTTTCATCGTCTCAAGTTATCATTGCCCCTGGTCTACTTCATTAGAGGAGGAAACCGACCCAACCTAATCAAAGAATTCTTGATAACAACCATTATTTTTTTCATCAAAGAGGATATTTGACCTAAGGTGAATGTTTATACAAGGTGATATATCTAAATCAATCTTAGTTAAAAGAGAGCTTCATATCCTTATGATTCACAACTTAAAAAGGCAGGATAACATCAGATAACAATCAGGCTAACTCTGTGATTGGAAAAGAGTGGTGTTCAATGTAAACAAATAACTCAATAGGAGAGCTCTGATTGTAACTGCCAACTTTTTTGGAGTCGTTGGGTCAAACTAAATGATGAAAAAAACTTATTTTATCCTTACTAATGCAAATTTATCCTCAATGTAAATATAGTGAAATATTTGACAAGACATTTATTTTTTCTGATCAGAAGTTAATCATAAGTTTGTCACCTTTGACAAACGATTGCAAAGAGTAGATAAAAATTGCTTTAAGCTTCAGGTGATAAAATTTTATTTAAACATTTCCTTTTATTAGATTGAACACTTAATTTAAGATTTGATTTAAAATTTACCCCTTTGATTGATATTTTCTATTAATACAACCATTAACAATGTTTGACATTTACAATACTTATATTTCAAATTTATTTAAAATTCACTAATTTAGTATTATTAAAAATATAATCTTTTAACCTCCAATTCTAATAAGGAGGAAGATCAAACTTAAATAAATAAATTTATGGGAATTATAACCCTATCACCTTAGACAATGTTGCTCTTAAAGAAATGTATAATTTAATTGCCTTGACCTTTGATTTCAAAATAGAAAGTTCATCAGTTTTAAACTACTTGCAGACATGTAAAAATAAAATTTATGCGCCTTTCAAAACAAGAGAAATTTTAGTGAAAATCTATTCATTGGAGCACATACGGATTATTCATGAGCCCGAACAAATTTTGTGATGCTCGCATATTCTCCAAAGCAACTAATTGATTTAGGGTCAGTTTGGGGCCGTTTTTTGCGGCTTCGCGGCCCCGGATCCCAAAAAAATACTATTTGGCTAGCAGCGTCGCGACAGATGGAAGCTACAGCGGGAGAAATGCGGGCCGCGGTATCCACCCGGCGGCCCCAGCTTTCCCCTCGCCAAATACTATATTTGCCCTCGTTCCGCAACCCTTGTTCCGCAGCCTCGTTCTCGTTCCGCAACCCTTGTTCCGCAACATCGTTCTTCTTCCTCAACCCTCGTTCCACAAAACTCGTTCCGCAACCCTCGTTCTTCGTCGTGCGTGTTCTTCTTCTTCGACCGGGACCGATTCGCTTTCCTCGCCATCTCACCTCGCCTGTGCCTCCACGCCTGTTCTTCTTCCTCGACCAGACCGAATACAGAAAGCACGAGGAAGTATTTTGGAGCTCTCTTCCCCGCTGAGAAAGCAAGAGGACCAATTCACGCGCCCTTACTTCTGAGCATTCTTCCCTATTTTCGAGCTCTCTTCTTCCTCGACCATGACCGAATCCAGAAAGCACGAGGCAGGTAATTCCATTTTCTTCCCTTATTTTCGAGCTCTCTTCCCCGCTTTTCTTCCCTTATTTTTGTTCTTCTTCCTCGACAGGACCATTCTTCTCTTACGAGAAAAATGACCATTCTTTTTTTATGTTGCTTTTGTAATGACATTATATTCTGTTTTCTTCAATTACAATATCGTTTGGCTAGCAGCGTCACGACAGACAGAAGCTACAGCGGGAGAAATGCGGGCCGCGGTAGCCACCCGGCGGCCCCAACTTTCCCCTCGCCAAATACTCTATTTGCCCTCGTTCCGCAACCCTTGTTCCGCAGCCATTTGGCTAGCAGCGTCGCGACAGATGGAAGCTACAGCGGGAGAAATGCGGGCCGCGGTATCCACCCGGCGGCCCCAGCTTTCCCCTCGCCAAATACTATATTTGCCCTCGTTCCGCAACCCTTGTTCCGCAGCCTCGTTCTTCTTCCTCAACCCTCGTTCCACAAAACTCGTTCCGCAACCCTCGTTCTTCGTCGTGCGTGTTCTTCTTCTTCGACCGGGACCGATTCGCTTTCCTCGCCATCTCACCTCGCCTGTGCCTCCACGCCTGTTCTTCTTCCTCGACCAGACCGAATACAGAAAGCACGAGGAAGTATTTTGGAGCTCTCTTCCCCGCTGAGAAAGCAAGAGGACCAATTCACGCGCCCTTACTTCTGAGCATTCTTCCCTATTTTCGAGCTCTCTTCTTCCTCGACCATGACCGAATCCAGAAAGCACGAGGCAGGTAATTCCATTTTCTTCCCTTATTTTCGAGCTCTCTTCCCCGCTTTTCTTCCCTTATTTTTGTTCTTCTTCCTCGACAGGACCATTCTTCTCTTACGAGAAAAATGACCATTCTTTTTTTATGTTGCTTTTGTAATGACATTATATTCTGTTTTCTTCAATTACAATATCTTGCAATCCATTTGATTCTATAATATAAAAGCTTAAAAGGTTATTGTTTCTTGAATTATGATGCTAATTTGGTCATGTACCTAGTACGTATTGATTGTTAATTTGTTATCAATTATCACAATATAATTTCAATGGATATCTCGTTCTCGTTCTGCAACCCTTGTTCCGCAACATCGTTCTTCTTCCTCAACCCTCGTTCCACAAAACTCGTTCCGCAACCCTCGTTCTTCGTCGTGCGTGTTCTTCTTCTTCGACCGGGACCGATTCGCTTTCCTCGCCATCTCACCTCGCCTGTGCCTCCACGCCTGTTCTTCTTCCTCGACCAGACCGAATACAGAAAGCACGAGGAAGTATTTTGGAGCTCTCTTCCCCGCTGAGAAAGCAAGAGGACCAATTCACGCGCCCTTACTTCTGAGCATTCTTCCCTATTTTCGAGCTCTCTTCTTCCTCGACCATGACCGAATCCAGAAAGCACTAGGCAGGTAATTCTTTCTATATATATTTTCTCTCTCTTTCTTTCTTGATATATATATACATATATATATTATTGTTGGCTAGTTCAGTATAGTTTTTTAGTTTATAAGAAATTAACTATCGAACAACAAAAACAAATAAATAGGATGTCATCACAACTTGATGGGAAAATTGTAGCTTCTAATTCAGATATCGTTTTCTCATTAATTTTGGCACCTAATTCAGGTATTTATGAGGGTTTATGGGCTTCATAGAATTTATTGTTTCCATTTTATTCCCAGAACGCCTTTTATCATGTTCAATGTTATAGGCTAAATTGTTTAGAATAATTCCTGTTTAAAATCTCTTATGATATTTTTGACCCATGGAAATTTATATACTGTTATCGGCATATATCTAAATTTTGCTTCTATGTTGGAACTTGCTCACACACTTTATTTTTATTTTACAAAATAATGGGATCAGCCCATGAGAATTTGTAGCATGCTGCAGTTGAGCTTCTAATCTATCGGCTATATTCTTTGCATAGTTAAATATCTTTGTTAGCTTTAAGTTTTAAATCATGTAAACTTTTAATAAAGTTTCATTACTTAAGGGGTTCCTTAATATACTAAAAAATTAGATGCATTGCTATAAGGTGACGAAGGAGGTTGGGCAGTCCATTCCTGTGAGGGTGTATATGAGGATAAACGTTGTTTCCATGATATTTTTACATTTTAACATCTATTCTTGAGTATTTATATTGGTTTGAAAGATTATATTGGCTTCATTTCTCCAAAATTTGACTATTACGTGTCATTTAAAGTTAGGCAGGTAATTCTTTCTATATATATTTTCTCTCTCTTTCTTTCTTGATATGTCATTTAAAGTCAAATATTCCCTCACTTCTATATATATTTTCTCTCTCTTTCTTTCTTGATATATATATATATACATATATATATATATATTATTGTTGGCTAGCTCAGTATAGTTTTTTAGTTTATAAGAAATTAACTATCGAACAACAAAAACAAATAAATAGGACATATATATATTATTGTTGGCTAGTTCAGTATAGTTTTTTAGTTTATAAGAAATTAACTATCGAACAGCAAACGCAAATAAATAGAAATAGGATGTCATCACAACTTGATGGGAAAATTGTAGCTTCTAATTCAGATATCGTTTTCTCATTAATTTTGGCACCTAATTCAGGTATTTATGAGGGTTTATGGGCTTCATAGAATTTATTGTTTCCATTTTATTCCCAGAACGCCTTTTATCATGTTCAATGTTATAGGCTTAAATTGTTTAGAATAATTCCTTCAATTCTTGTTTTAAGGCTGACAGGTATATAGTTGGAAAAATTGCTCCTGTACCTATTCGTAAAGTTCATTCCTCTGATTCTTGACCCTGATTTATTTTGCCTTCTATAATAAATGAAACTTTTCTCATGGCTTGATATCTCATTCGGGGCTCACTATTAAGTCATTGGTGTATCTGAACTTTCTGATCTGTCTTGAAATAAATTTCTGCTTCTGAAGTTTAAAAAATATGGTTGTTATAGTCAGCTTTTAAACAGTTTTAACAAACAGGGTCACAATGATCATTTTTCCAGAAACAGCTTAATCACATCTGTTTTCACACAGTTGCACCAAACAGACAACAGTTTCCTCATAACAGCTTCCCCGCAGCGCAGCTGCAGCTGAAAAACTGAGAAGCTACACTTACGCTAAACAGAACCTTAATCGAAAGATCATCTCATCAAGGCGTAAGATTATATATATATTACAATACAATCTTTTCAATAGTTATCTGTTTTTTTTTTCAAATATAAATATATTTATACAAATAAAGAAAAAAAAAAAGAAATGGGTTGAAAAATCTCTTTTTAAGAGAATAATAGCGGTGTTGTTTTGGGGTGGAGGAGAGGCGAGGCGTGAAGTTGGTTGTGCGGTTTTGAGTCTAAAAAGCAGAGGAAGTTTGGCCAGGAAACTACTGCGGCTTGCTAAATCGAACGAGACGATTTCCGCGAGGAATGGACGAGCAGATAAGAATCGCGTACAGGAATGGCGATTCGTGTGATTTTGTGCTTCTAAATCAAGAGGAAGAGGGCTTCTGAGTCGCACGAGAGGAAGCGACGATCGAGGGGAGGAAGGACCGAATAGGGAGATGGGACGAGGAGTTCTCGGGTTGGAGCACGGCACGGCTAGGGATCGCGCTTAGGGCTGGGGCGAGCGAGCTTCGGCTTCGTGCGGCACAGGGAGAGGAAACGGAGGTGGAAGCTGAAGGCATGCTCGCTCAGGACGATGAAGCGGAGGAAGAGCTCGGCGTAACGTGACGGGATTTTGTATGAAGATGACGGAAGAACTGGAGCGGCGGGATTTGGATTGGGTAGGAGCTAGCAGAGATGAAGATCAAGTCCATTCGAGCCCAGATTCATGTAATGTTACATTCCATAATTATCGGCTACTTCAATTTTGATGGAGCTCAACTCATCCATCTTTATGATTCGTATTTGCTGGTCAGCAACTGCAATAGTAAAGATTTGAATGTTTTCCATAAGTTTAGAGCTGGCAATTCTGAGACAACTTATAGATCTACATGTTCTTTGATGACTGGATTAAAAAGCAATTCTTCTCAGCTAGCATCAATGATTGACAAGATAATATACATTAGCAGAACTAGACGTGTCAAAGAGATTTGCAGTAAATTCTGCGGCGAAAAAGAAGAGAAACCTAACCACAAGAAGAAGAAGATTTATTATCCTAATTTGATATACAAAGATTCCCATGAAGAATAAAAATGAAGGAAATCAGTTCCAGGAATCATGTCTGCATGAAATTTCCAAATCTGACGAGTCCATTCCATCAATTTCTACGAGCAAAAGCACAATTCTTCCCATCTCAAACGTGTAAGACTTCAATTTTGATGAGTTGATCTCTCAAGCCATTCTTCCTAACAAGCCTCTGTGAAGCAAAACTCCTCGCCAAAACTACTGGCATGGACCCAAAGTATCAGCCTCAGCAATTCCTAACCAGCACAAAATTGTTTCACTAACTTAAAAAAAATCCACCATGGATCCCTCATCTCCTGAATTCTGAGCTCTCTCCATCTTGAGGTGACGCAAGATCTTACAGTGAGGCGATTTAATCTTCTCACAGCTGCAAAGCTAAGTCAGGCTGCTGAGAATCCATAGCCAGACTAGAAGAAGAAGGTTGAATTGGAGATGCTGGCGCCTGGTATCCAATATTCAGATCTGGAGGAAGATTATCTCTCCGCTTGCTCTGAGGTTGAGGACTAGAAACTTGCCAAGCTGGATGGTTCTGATAATTTGATAAATTCGAGGAAATCAACTGTGGGAAGATAACTAGGCCTCTATTTTTAACACTTGAGGCCTCCACCTTTAAAGGTAAATTTGCAGGTCGTACAATAGAATATCCATTAAACTGAGAAGCAGTAGGGGTTTTCCAAGCAGGGGGGTTGCAGAAAGGAGATGATATGCTTGGCTTTTCTGAAGCAGTTTTACCATCAACTGATTTCCACTGGCCTGAGGTTCCAACAGACATCCATGCTCTAGCTGCAGCAGATGTTGCTGGACTAAAACCCTCCTTGCTAAGTGGTGAAACTATTGGAATGGACTGTTCTACATGACTAGTGCCACTAGTTGAAAAGTTTTGTTGATTGCTAGCCTTTGCCGGGAAACTCGCAAATTTGAAAGGATAATTGGAAGCCTGATCATGATTATTATTACCCCGACCAAGGGCATAGTTTACTCCAGTTTGATTGCTTGAGATGAAAGCTAAAGAAGTACTTACTTTGGGTCCACTATTGGAACCTCTGATACCAATTTCTGGAGCAGCTTTCAGATTTTGAGATGATGCTGCTTGAATTACTTTATGGGTTTCAGTTTCCCTTGAAAAAATTCCAGGAAAGTTAGCATGAGTGGCTTTATTCAGGGAGTTTGCCAGACCAGCTTGTGGGAAAACATTTGTGAAAGCTTTGGCAAAATCTGCTGTGGTTTGATTTTTCTGCTGATTTGACTTCGTTTGAGTACTTGGTTGTGCAAAATCATTGACACTGATCGCTTCTTGCTTCCTCTCTATAATCTCCTCGCACGGGGTCTCCTCTTTAACACGAACAGGAGCTATGGATGAGTTTCTGTTAATCATCTGACTGTTGACAGCAATGTTGGTGTTATTAGAGTCATTGCACTGTTTCTGTCCAACTGTGCCATTGATTTTGGATTGGGTTTTTGCAGTGCCATTGATTTTGGATTGGGTTTTTGCAGTGCTATCAACACCAAGTAACCTTGGTTTCTGCTCTCCTGAATTCTCACAGAAAGCACTCTTGCTAAAATTAGGAGCTTTTCTGGGGGCTGCTTTAGAGGTCGACAGTTTCTTGATAAGCAAATCCATGTTACTGGAAGCGGGAGTTTGTCCATTCCTTAATTTCATTTCAGCAACCTTATCATTTGTGGCTACTTTTGAACATGAAGCTGGGTTTCCAACAGAAAGAAAAGGAGTGGGAAGAGGCTCATATTCCCCAACCCATCCAGGCCCAAATTTCATCCCAGGAGGTAAGGCTTTTTCAATTTTTTTGGACGCTATTTTCCAGGCCACGGGACCAAGTGAAGCGGTGAATCGGGCAAGGCTCTGAGCATAAGAATGCTCAAAATCAAGTCCAACCTGGAAGACACAACAGCAATTAGATGAGACTGGTGGTGTAGCAGAAACAGTAAGAAGTGTTATTAGTAATGTTACTTACAGGAAGCAGCTGTTTTTGCTCATCCTCAAAGGGATTGAGTACCAGATCAGACTCAACCAAGGGGTTTTGTTGTTGACTTATGTTATATGTTGCCCGGCGATTTTCATCAACTGGTGTTGGTTTACGCCCAAGTTTGGAGGGAGAGCATTTAACTGCAACAAAAATGAATGTAAGATGACAACTTTGTGAGCAGCACATTATATATAGCTAAAGAAAGCTTTAAATCTACTAGAAATATGGCATGCATTGCTTTAAGAAAGTACTCGTCACGAGTTATATCTCTGAGAACCAGTCCTCGCTGTTCTATTACAGTTTCAGCCATCTCCTCAATCCTGCTAACAGAACTGTGTTTATCATCTCTAGCAAGGAATTCTATCTTATCACCTACTCTTGTGATCGGGAGAAAGGCATGACGAGCATAAGGGGATGGCTGAGACAATTAAGGGACATTAATGGAAAAGAGGGGTGCAATAAATATTTTTTAAAAAGCATGGCTAATCAAAAGAGCTGTCGCAGAACTGGTAATTCATAAACTTCGCTATTTGTTATATTTGTTTACATAGCAATTTTATGCAACATCCGAAAATATGGAATGATTGACAAACATAATAACGTCCACAAAACGTCGAATCAAAATGCAAAGAAGATATGTCAAACGTGAGATTAAAAAAAAATATATTTTTTAAATACAAATAGTTCATAAGCTGAGGGCAAATGGATTTAAAAAGAAGGATATCGACCTAATACCAAAACTCTTATGAATCTACCCTCCTAGGAAATCATAATTGTACCTAAAAGGTCATCTCCTTTATCTTGTTTGCTCTCCCCAAGAGAACTAGCATCTACAAGTTCATTAACAGCAACAGACTTCTCTTGTTTGCTCTCCCTCAAAGAAAAACTAGTATCTATAAGTCCATTAATACTAACAGGCTTCTCTTGCTTGCTCAGCCCAAGAGAAAAACTAGTATTTTGAACTCCATTAACAGCTACTGACTTCTCTTGTTTGCTCTCCTCCAGAGAAGAAATGGCATCCACAAGTCCATTAACCGCACCAGACTTATCTTGTTTGCTCCCCTCCAGAGAAGAGCTAGCATCTAGAAGTTCATTAACAGCAACAGATTTTTCAATCCCATTCACTGTGCTCAGTCCGGTAGAGGTATCACCAGCAGAGGCAATAGTGGCGCCAGAAGAGATATCTGATACAATAGGCTCCACCACAGCTTTGTACTGGATCTTCGGTGCACATGAAGTACGAGGTGTCCTTTTTACCATGGGAGTTAATCTGACTTTCTCCTTGGCCCTTTGCTCAGTTCGCTGAGTTTCTGTGTGTTTTACATTCTCTCTAACAAACTGAAACTTACTCCTTGCCAGCTCTTGTATAGCGCATGCCTTCAGAAAACAAAATGAGAGAAGGATATGTCAAGTTGTACGTCTTAAAATTCCTAGAAAAAGGGATAAGTTTTGAAGACATTATCATACTTGTCTGAAGTAAACTGTGTCTGGTGCATTATATTGCATTGCGTTGCTGCAAATTAGGAAAACATCATCCTGCATGCAAAAAAAATGGAGTTTAGAAAGTATGTAGAATAAGAGAAATTTCAATAGATCTATTTAGCCTCAAGATTAATCACAAGAAAAAACATATTTGCTGCATATATATATTAGATAACTGCATTCAAGTAGTTTGTAACCATTGTATTTCTCCCATTCATGGCCGTCCAACGAAACAAATTGTCTTCAGCCATTTACAGTTTATTCTCTAAATCTCTAATTCTTAATCATGTAAACTCTAACTGTGAAAAAAAATTTAAGGGCAATCAAACATAACAACCAGAAATCCTCCTACCCTTAATAGAACATGAAAATTATATAGGTTAATTACCTTTAACAGCTCGTCAAAACAGATGGTATACCTCTTAACATTTACTTGAAAATTAATACTTACCGTTAAATAAAGATAACAACTGACTCAAAAAATGAGAACAAAACACTAACTTTCCGTGGATTTCAAAGAAAATTGCACATTTTTATGAATATTTAGCTTTCATGATCTTCATGGTATCTACTTTCCACAACTGGGCTGTTTAAGAGTTCATTGATGCAATTTTCAATTTTAAATCCTCTATAACCTCACTATTTATTTATAAAAATTGAGTTGAAGATGCCCGATTATCAAAACCCAATACAATCATCATTGTTTTAAGATATCTTTCGCCACAGTACCGATATCTATATATAGGCAAGTATAGCGGGTAGAATAATAAAATAAAACAGAGAATAACCTCGATTAAGAAACATACTAAAAAGTATAGACAGCAATACTTAATAACTACTAACACCCAATCTTGTAAAATCTCTACTGCTCCTGCTTAAATGGAGCATATATACCACAAAGATCATGCTTATTACAAAGATGGGAAAAATGTACTACCAGAGCTTTAGTAAGAATATCTGCCAATTGCTCTTCCTTGGAGACATGAAAGATGACATTATTTGATAGAACGATGAAGTGTCAATCAATTTCCTTATATTTTGTTCTCTTGTAAAGGATAGGATTCTAACAATGTGGTTAATTCATTCCCACTTATCACACTGTAAGAATTAATTATAGGCTAGAATATAGAGAAGCCAAATTTTGTTATAATTTTTTTTTATCTACATTTCACAAAAAGGATGCATCATATCACTACATTCAGCTTCAAAAGTTGATTTAACAACACCAATTTATTTTTGGCTTCTTCACGAGATAAACATTTTCTTCTGTAAAAATATAGCAGTCCAAACCAAATTTTGATCTTCAATGGATTTTTCATAATCAATGTCAGAATAAGATTTAACTTCTAAATGATTGTGATTAGAATAATCTAATCTAGTTCCCAGAGACTTCTTAATATATCTTACGATCTTTAAGATAACATCCCAATATTTCTTGTTTGAGTTTTGCATGTATATGCTTACTATACCAACAAAAGAGAAAATCAAGTTAGATGTCAAACAGCTACTTCACCAACCAAACAAAGAGAACGAAAAGTATATTTGAAGATTTTCTCATCATTTGATGTTCGTTCAATACTCATGGCATAGTTAGTTTGCACCTCAGGAGCAAGTTTTGTCAAATATGTCAACTGCATATTTCCTCTAAACATCGCCTTCTTGTAAGCAAACTCAATGCTAAGAAATTACTTTAAACATCCACAATTTTCAGTAAAATTTATCTTCTAAAAATATTATTTGATCTCATCAATCCCAAAAAATATCATTTTCAGTGAGGAATTTCATCAAAATAGACACATCATCAACAACAAGCTTTTATCTCACTAAATGGGGTCGAATCAAAATAGACACATAAAAAGAACAATACTAGAAAATGAATGATGGATGAATATATGTGAGAAGCTAAGATATATAAAAGATCATCATTGATCTAGACTATACAAAGCGTATTAAACAAGACATAAGGACTTAATTCAAACAATATGGCTTTCCAAAACTTGCAAACCTTTCTCTTTGGAGCAACATGCTCGAAAGCTTGCTCCATATAAAGCCCTTAAATGTTTCTATCCATCTGGAATAAAGTCCACCTTTTGATTATGGCCACATATAGAATGAGGTGGGTAAAGTTTAGATAAGAAACAAGGAAAAAAGGTCTCAAAATTAACAATGTGCTGAATTTCTTAGTGTTCTTTGGCTACCAATTAAGCTTTGTAATTATCATTAATTCCATCTGGATGAAAATGAATCCTGAAAACCCATCGAAATGAAATAGATTTTATACTAATAAGCGAGTGACCGGGATAAAAAAGAGCCCCTATTTAAGCATCCATAACATGTTTAGTTAGGATCAAACAGTGCTTCTTAATACGCGATCAAACGGCAAGGTGCTTCTTAATAAGTCTTAGGAGATGGATAATACAAAGTAATGAAAACAAGAGTCAAAGAATGAAAAAGGCAATATCAAGTGGTTAGTAAAGTGTCATTTAACTTCTAAGAGAGCAATTAGAGGTAGAGTTTTGAAGTTGCATGGGTATATGGATAACTCTAACAATAGTAAACTAGATGAAAGGATGTGCATGAGAGAGAGGCAAATGAGGCTAACAAGCATAAAACTATAGTGAAGGAGCAAGCACTAGAGCAATCAGTGCAAGCGAAATATCTAGAGGAGATTTTGTAATGGAGGGGCAGTATGGTAATATGGAGATGATAAGAGGCAATATCAACAAGTACATAAAAGTAATCATTAATGGGATCATAACAATGGTGAATTTTTAGGGAAAG